GTGCGCATGCTATTTTTCTCGCAGAACAAAGAGATCTTCGCCAGGGCTCATCGAACTCGAGAGGCTCATTGATCGACTACGAGACGCACAAGAGCACCGCCACAACCATGTCCACTACCGTTGCAGAGTTGCATGGACTAATGCGTTGTTACGGTTCAGCATTATTTCTTCGCGGTCTCTGGTCAGGCGTAACAGGCGAAATCGCAGATGTACACATCCGCACTGGTGCGAACAATCTTGTCACCACAGCATCCACAACACATCAACCGGAACAGAAAGAAACAATGCATTTGATCCAGATGTTGAGAAAGGAAAGCAACAATGGACAGATGCACGACCTTGTACATGTACGGAGTGAAGATTGTCCGGCAGATTCGCTGACCAAGCATTCAGCTAAAGCAGACGAGCTCATCAAGGCCGTCCTCACCGGAAATCTCTTGAATGTTGATGCACATCCACCTTTCCGTACCATGTTGCAGAACAAGGCCTTTTTGGTTGAGTGGCTAGCGCACAATACGAAGCACGGACCCGACATCATTGCCTGTGCAGGAGTCGGCATAGCAGAATCAATGTTTGCTTATTGGGAACCTGGGCATGATCCGCATGTCCACGAATTCTGATGCATGAGTTTTCCGTTTTGCACATTTTCAATTCCTCAAATCCGTGATGCGTGTTTTTGCACTTGACCCAGTCTGAATCTCAAGAAGTATGTGTCTGCATCCGCAGCCACTTTCGGTTCACCACCAATCCGACCTTTGCAATCTTGTATGCTCGATCACTTCGAAGACGTGCCCATTCTCAACATGATCTTCGGACGATCCAGCGCCGCGGCACCTTTGCCAAAGCCGATGATCAAGAGACGGGCGTCTCCGTTGAAGGAATCTCCTGCTCGTGATGAGGAAGATGAGACATCCGACAAGTCGCAGATGAGAATCCATCTGCCTCTCAGCAACCCGAGAATGTCGACATGGAGCAGGCCGATTATGATCCAGATTCCGACGACGATGATTCAGATGAAGAAGAGCATCCTCCCGCAGGAAGGCCTATGTCAAAGGCGATGCCACATCCGAAACTTGTTCCAAAGTCACCGCCACCAGCATTGAGGCTTGTCTCCAAGGTCAAGCCAGCACCAAAGAACATCCTGGATGAAGAGACGGAATCCGACAATCACCCTGGTGATCGACCTGCACTTCCAAGGCGACCAGCGATGCGGCCAGTTCTCACATCCAATGATCGGTGGTTTGTAACAAATGGATCGGATACAGACATCAGCCTCCAGAAGGAATCACCCAGGACCTTTCGGAAACTCAAAATTCCTGAATTTCGTGTACGAGTACTACAAGGAATGCTCAACCATCCTCGATGTCAGTCCGAATTTCCATTTCATCCCTGAGCATGAACGACCACATGGAGTCAAAGTATTTTGGGTGAAGGCCAGATTCAACGATTACTGGCAGCCAACACTCCAAGGTGAAGGACCTCATACGGAGAAGCAATACATGGACTTCATCAAGAAGGTCTACAGCATCTGCTGCTACACCGAATGCTCAATCCGAAGTTTACGGAACCGACATCATCCCGATGGTATGCCACAACGGCAACATTGATCTCGAGAAGACCGTCCAGAATGTCGAACAGGTTTGCAAACACTTCCACATGGATCCATCCAAGGCGAAACAGATCACCGACCTCATCCTCTGGCGAATTGAGAGAATGAGCAGATCGTTTTCCGGATGTCTTCGACATGATCCAAGGCATGGTATCTATAAGGAATGCAGACGACAAGTGGACATGGGACCTGATAGATCCGTTGAGCTCTACGACGCATTGACCTGCATCACACATGCCAGGAACTTCATTGGAAATAAGCCAGGACTTCTCTTGATGGCTATGTTCCCGAGCTATGGAAAATCACATGTTGAAATCGCATTCGTGTTTCCATCCGTGGACGGGTCATACAAGGAACGCAAGGCACGGGGAGAAATTGTTCCAAGGAATCGGTGGATCGAAAGGCTCAACACGAGATCCGCTCCGGCCCGATGGCAAGGAATTCTATGTCGATGCAGAGATGGAGTCCTATGTGAGATGCAATAGCGGGCACACACGACAAGTCGAGATCCAATCCGTTGGACGATCCCAGCAACAAGTGGATCATGAATAAGCATCTCAGTTATGAAGATTACGAGATGTACGACACCAAGATCCATGAATTTGCCGATGCCTTCTTCAATTATGTGAATTCCACCAAGCACAGCAAGGAAAAAGATACTCCTCAGAGACCAAGAAGCGACGGCATTCCACCGACCAGGACGAAGCTAAAAGAGAAGCTGAAGAAGAGACCATGGAACCCTCCGGGGAAAGATCCGTTAAACCAAAGGTCACCGTGGAATATCACAATTCAGAGAACCTAGACGAGTTCATCCAGGAACTCAAGGGAATCTATCTCGAAACAGATTTGAACAAAAAGGACGCAGAGGAAGAGCTCGCGGAGACAAAGGCAAACCTCCTCCGCTTCATGAGCAAGTACAACAAAGATCCAAGAAGAGCTCATCCCAAATTGACAGAGTGCGAGAGAGCCTCATTGGCACATGTCGATCCCAATGAAAATCTCGGAGAAGAAGAATTCTACTTCCCTCATCGAGGAGAATGTCCCAGTATGGACGGGTACAAGCAAGCACAACCAGGATCCGGCTATCCGATCAAGCTTCCACTTGGATTGAAGAAGCTTAAGTCGCATGATGACCCGGAAATCATCCGTGCATAAGCCGACATCCTGGGATCGCTGATGCAGCCGACTGACCGTCCACCTGTGGACTATCTCAAGATGCATGAGTTCACCTCATCCATAGCGATCAACATGCTTACCCTGAACCATGGAAACCTCACGAGGAATCCAAAGTTGGACAACAGGGAGGTGTACAACATGCCGATGAAGGATCGACCAATCGTGAAGATGATGATGCAGAACAGTGCACACATCTTGTGCCTGAATGAAGCAGACGCATTCTTCAGTCCTAATGATGAGAAATCGATGGAGCTCATCAAGACGTTCGTCCGATTCGGAAACAAGGGCGTCGTGATCAAGCAATGGTCATCCAGACCGATCGCATGCTTTGTCCGATCTTCTGCAAGAGTGGAACTTCTGGCAAGACATATTTCCACCAAGAGTCAGAATTGGGGAACAACATTCGGAATGTTCAGATGCTTCTTTGGAACCGAAGGAAGTTGCACTGATCCCTAATACGAAATTCCGACCTCGGATTGCTTGGCAACTACAGGACCATCCATGTTTACTGAATCCAAGAAGTACATTGGACCGAGATTGCCAGCACGCACCATTGTCCAAGGACATGGTTTAAGGAGATCGTCGTTCTCCATATCGAGCAGAGTGATGAGTTTCGTGGCATGATCCCGAAATCATCCAACAAGTCACTCCATGAGTATGACGACCGCCGCATCACGAGGGCAGATCTCCCATTTGCTACCATTGGAGTTTTCCACATCCATCCTTCAATCAGCCATGGAGCAGCACGGGAAGATCTGCCGCTCGTGACTTTGTACCGATGCGATGCGATCACCGGAGACGCCAACAAATCAGCAACAAACTCCAGCACGTCTTCAATCCGGCCAACGGTCTCGTGAACATCCTCATGAGAGCATATCAGAGACTGTGGAGACGAAGAATTTGCCACTCGTGGACAGAATGGAGTACGCAATGGAGACTTCGTGCACCCCTGAAATCCATTGTCCGTCATCACCGGCACATGAAGTGTGGATCAGGATATGATCGAACATGCCCAGATGTGATGATGACATTCGTATTTGGATGGGGCAAAACGAACATCCAGCAGGCTTTCCGGAAGGACGAGATGAACGGCAGGGAAGATGAACAACTGGAACTCGTGCGGAACGATCCAACCAAGGCCATATTCGATTACCAGGTCTCATCCGCAGAGCGCTTCAAGCACGTGAACAATGACATGTTCATGAATGGCTCGCAGGACTCCGACTTGCACAGTCCCCTCATGGTTTACACCCGCAGCAAATCTGCAACCAGGCAACGCAACTCTGAGAGATACCAGGAGTACATCAAGAAGAAACAAGCCTGGGCCCCGCAGGAGTACAAGGACTACAACAAGCAGTGGGGAAATCAGAAGCAGTGGAAGGACTATAGCACCTCGACCTGGAATGATTATGGAGACTATGGCAGTCAATCCGACAGCAGCCGCCGATGGTATCGTCGATCCGACTGACCCCAAAGATTCATACGTTTAGCGCCACGAACTCAATTCAGATGATTGATCCTCGCCGTCTACAAGACTATCCTACAGTGAGAGGTCAATAGTTTCACAATCGTCCCGCGTGTACATAGCGTTGTACATCACCCTTTGATACATCTAGGTATCTCGAAAAGAAGCAGCGCATAGTGTTTTCCATTTCGAGAGCCAAGACATTTCATCCGAGCAGAAAAGAGGATGAATGCGGCATTTTTAATACACATGGCTACGGCATACATCATGGCTACGGCATACAACAAAGGCTACGGCCAAAGGCCATGAAGCCAATAGTATTTCATACTTAGTGCTGGAGATCAAAAGAAATGTGTGTCTGTTTTGTGTTTGGTTTACTGAACACTTGATCTCCTGCAACATTTGGCTCAAGGCCCCTTTTGTGTAACATTGCATCATACATGATCGCGTGAAGCAAAAGAACCTTTGCAGGCCGCTTACAGGATTATCCACAAGACAATCCACCAAGGACAATCCATCCTCCAATCATTCATAGTGGCATATTGGATTCTCTCCGGAATAGATCCAGCCAGGGACCAAATCAACGACCTCTACTACCACAAAGGTACCAGTTCCCTCCTGGGATAGGTACCCCGGCAATGGGCCTCAGGGGAGGGGGGGGAGGGGGGGGGAGGGGGAGAAAACCAAAGATCCAGACAGCCAGACATCCAGACAACAAAATTATAATTTGCACGAAACTTGTAGAAAGCACACCAACTAAAGCAACACAGAACACACCGCCCCCATGCCGAAAGCATGGTCCATTCTGGACCAGGCATGGAGTCGGCGGATTTTCAGCCTGGCAGGCCCAGCGTGACCCTGCTCTTGGCATGTACTTTCTGCTTTGTATCCGCTACGGCTCAGCAGGGCAAACGGTAACCGGGCCCTTGCAGTACACTTTCAGATCTCGTGTGCGTCAGTTGCACCTATTGCATGCTGCCAGTTGATGCTTCCATGAAGCGGCCACTTCGCGTCTTGCGTTCCCTTGAGTTTGTCCAGCAGAGCCAACGGACTCGATGCTCTGATCTTGTCACACCCACACAATGCGCTCCGGTGATGAGAGACGACAGCTGCTACCAGCGCATTTGGGATGCGCAGATTTAGGATGATGTCTCACACGGTGGACAACTTTCGAGTCGACACGGAAAAATTTGAGCGCCTGATAAGTGCTAGTCGCTCGCCGCAGCGTCTAACACACAGTTGAAAAACACCACAGGAAACAGATGACCTGGGACGGCCCTGGTGCAATTCTTGCTGTGTTGAACGTAAGGCTCCGTGAACAAGGATTTCGTGCTCAGAGCATTTGGCTCAGGCAGTCCCTGTGAGCACGAGCGCTGCCTAGACCACGATGGCAAGCGACAGTGAGACGTCTTTGGACAGCTTTGATGTCAGCAAGCAAAAACGCGGCAGGGCTTCATTCCAAGATGGTGGGGGCCCTTGAATCGCGCCGCGAAATTGCGCGAGTTTGCATGTACATCATTTGCTTCTCAAACGTGAGCCTTGTGTGGTTGCTACGCATTTGTCAACGAACACACTCCAAGTAAAGAGATCCAGCATGGTCCAGCATTTTGTGAGATGGGAGTGCTTTGGCCAGAGTTGTTGGACTGAGGCGTTTCGTTGCAAGCTTTCACCTTCCCTGACTCGGGCTTGTTCTGGACCAACTCGCGACAAATCCGGTTGCACATGAGAAGCTCGGCAGACTTCAGAGTTGTTCTGAACAGGCTGACGCAAAGTGCGGGCTCCTGGGTCCTGGGTTTGTTCATTTGGATTGCAATGTCAGAGGTCTCCTGCTAAGGAGTCATCGTGCCTGCGAAGATTAGCGACTCCACAGCGGTGGTTGTCTCTGTGCATGGTTTTGGTAACCACTGCAATTCCGAGAGGGGCATTGGATGTATTCGCAGGTTCGCGGAAGAGCTCGACGCCATCATTTTCATGTACGATCAACACGGACATGGATATTCGGGTGGCTCTCGAGGCTTCATCACTGACTACGTCCATTTGGTCGACGACCTTGCCGGTCTTGTCCATTTACTTTACACGGCCAAGGAACCGACAAGCGATGCATACAACCTTTGCTCACCTGAGATATTGTCTGAGGTGAAGGGCAGGGAGCTTGTGCTCGCGGGTGAGAGCATTGGCGGTGGAGTTGTGCTGGCTGCTTCTGTTCGCCTTCAGAATTCAATCACTCGTGCCAGCGCCTTGATACTATTCGCGCCATTCTTACAAGCCACTGTACCCTTTGGTGCTGGGAAGTCCTTTGTCAACATGGTGAGCAGCTTTCCTTCGTTGGGGAATGTGAGTTTGCCACAGATGTTCCTGCCAGAGCTGAAAGGCAGGGTCTGGGAGTTTTCTTGCTTGCCTAGCTCTGGTTCCTGTTCAATCATGTTCCTTTGTTTGGGAGGTTCAGGCTTTGAATTTGACATCTCTGAGAGGAGATGCCATTTTTGCGAACGGGCATGATGTAAAGATCTTTGAGATGGATCGCTCCAACGGCGTCCGTTCTGCATTGGGTTTTCCAAAGAAGCTGAAGGCCTCGACCGGAGCCTCCATTACGGCGATGTGCAATGCTATGCCGGGAATCATCACGCAGCTAGACACGCCTGTTCTCATGTGCTGTGACCCCGATGATTCTATTGCCCCAATTCAAGGACCGCTACAATTCATGGAGCTTGCGACTTGCCCTAGAGAGCTGTTCAAAATCCCAGGTGGCTTGCATGCGCCCCACTTGAACAAGTTCAAAGACGTGTCATCAACATGTCGGAGGTTTCTTTCGCTTCACTTGTGCCGCAAATCAGAAGCACTTGGCCAGGGTGCCGATGCCGGCTCAGATGAAACGACGAAAGATTCCAGCATTGCGCGCGGGAATTTTGCCCCTTCGACCGCCCCGCAGCGCCTCAAACTTGAACGAACAGCTTTTGAGCGCTTCCCTTTGCCCGGAAGGTTCAATGAGGTCCTGGTCATCCTGGTCTACTTCGCGACATTGTTGGTCATTGCGTCCAGCCCCACCCTCCTTGCAGCAACGCGTGGTCCAGAAGCTGGTGGTTGGGTTTTACTTGCGTTTTTCTTGTACTTGCACGGCGTGGCGCTGGTTGTGGTTCTGAATTACACGAGGGCCATTCTCAAGGCAAGGCGGTCACGACAGAACGTTCAAGTTCCACTGAGAGCTGTGCCGTTTGGGATTCTCATCCCCATGTACAATGAAGACATCGAAATTCTGAGAGCTGGGCTGGAAAGCATCAATGACCAACCTCAAGCTCCGAATGTGACTGTTATCATTGGACTTGAAGCACGCGTTGGTGAGGAGGACAATGCAAAGCGGGAAGAAGCTGTGCGGGGAATCCTTTGCAACGTGAAGGCAGTTCACGTTTTTAGGCACCCAGAAAACTTGCCGGGCCACATCAAAGGCTGTGGCAGCAACCAGGCGTGGGCAATGAGCCAATTCTTGCAGACCATCGAGGAAGACATCAGCGAGTGGGTGTTTATGAAGGTGGATGCCCAAGTGGTCATGCAACCCGGTTTGCTCACTGAGCTTGAGCATCGCATGCTTGCTTGGAAGTCGCATAGGAGACCTGTTGTGTGGCAGCCGATGGTGTTGCATACCATCAACAACAGTCGAGCTTATGCGGTAGGTTCGCTCTTTGCGCAGACTGTCGAGTTCTTCGTCATCGGGATGTTTGCTCAGCCTCTCATTTCCTCGTTCGTATTTGGCCAGTATGCCATGCCCATGGATTTGTACGTGCGTGCCGGCACGCACCATCCATCCATCATGGCTGAAGACCAGGCCATCACAATTCAATGCTCTTGGACAAATAGGAGCCTGACAGTGCAACCTCTGAATCACTCAGTGGCCAAGGCCCCGCCCCTGGGCGACAGTTTGCGCGAAGCAATTGACGAGACACTGGCTCAGGATACACGT